GGTTCGTAAATAGTTAAGAATCCAACAAAGCCACAACCCCACCATCTGACTATATCTAGATAACTAATACTAGTACTAATATTAACTTCTTCTTTTTTGGTCTGATTTTTTGCCTGCACAAGAGAAATTGGGGATGAATCCAAAAAAGGGGTACTCAATTACATGGAAGAGTAAAATGGACAGAAGAGTATGAAATCCAACTGGATTTTTTTTCTCAATTTTTTTCCTACCCATTGCCAGACATTTGATAATAAAATGAGTACTGCCAATAATCGATAACTTCATCATCATAATAATTGAAAGCCTTAGCTACCAAGAGGTTAGAGGAAACTGGAATATTTTTCTGCCTAAATACTGTAGGTTAGTAGGTGAAAGAGAGGTGGAATATTAAGGGCTTAATATATCTTGTTTAACCATGCTGACATATATAAGTGTTGTCATCTTAGACAAAAGGCAAAATTATCATCAACTGCTAAGTCTAAGTCTAAGTGTTGTCATTTGATATATTTTGTATGCAAATAAAATATCACATTGAAAGTTGATAAGAAAAAAAAGCTACATACCAAATGTAGTGATACTCTAAATGGTGCATTTGATGCCTTTCGGCGAGAAATCTTGCGAGCTTGGTTCAAAACAAACAATATGGCAAATAGAGTAGAAAAATCAACACAAGGATTTAACGAGGTTCGGCTAAGCCTAATCCTCAGAACAGAAGCAGAGTGAGTTTTCCACTATCAATGAAAAAAAAAGCACAATACAATCTATAGAATCCCCAACTACAACCCCTATATATAGATCTCAAATAGTCCCAAAGCTATAAGAGAAGGTTTCCCAATTTGACAAGGACAATAGGTTTTCTTTTCTCAATCTATTAGGACAATGGGTTTTCCTAAACCTATGGGGGTTATGGGTTTCCTAAAAATACAAGGAAATAATTCAAGCCACAAAATAACAAATCTTCTCCTTGGCTTGAATTCTCTTCATCAACAGGAACAACGTCTCTCTACCTTGCCCTTAGCCCTCGCAAGGGCTCTACCCTTTGCCGCACACATCAACCAAGTCTAGGCAACGCCTAAACTTGTTAAGAGGCTCAATCTCTTTAGCCGTAGCACTTATCAGTCGATTTGGTTCTTAGCTTCTGGATAGCTATAACGCTCAAACACATCAACGGTCTCTGCAACTACCAAAGAAAATCCCACAGGATTCATATATCCAAGAATATTCCCATCAACTACATTTGTAAACCTTTGCGGTCGGTTGATCTCTCTCTTCTCTCTGCCTGTTGCAATGATATATGGTTGATGTTGCACAAGTGCATTAATATTATCATCTCGATTAATATTTTGCACCTCTTCCACTTCTTCTACTTTAGAATTACTGGGCTGAGCTAGTGAAAATTCAATTTTTATCATGCGGTCACTGACACCATGATCTGTATCTGCTATTGCCTTCTCCCTCTAACGGTCTAGTGAGGCAGATTCATTGAATGTTACATCCCTACTGATAAATAACCCTAGAGTATTTTGATTTGTGCACCCCAACCTATAACCTTTCATTCCAGTTGCATACCCTAGAGATATGCACTTCTTTGCCCTCGGCTCAAGTTTTTCATCCCTCACATGAGTATAAGCAGGACAACCAAATATCCTTAAATTTGAATAATCAGCAGTCGAACCGGATCATACTTCAAAAGGAGTTTTGAATTCAATTGATGTGGATGAAGATCTGTTGACCAAATAACAAGCTGCATTGATTGCTTCAGTCCAAAAATACTTGCTAACACATGAGCGTGAAAGCATGCTCGTGCCCTATCACAAAGCGTTTTATTCATACGTTCTGCAACACCATTTTATTATGGTGTTCCGACACAAGTATGGTGTCTCACTATGCCCTATCTGCTGCGGAAATTATTGAACTCAGAATTGAAAATTTTCAACCAATTGTCAGTCTGAAAACGCTTGACTTTTCTTTCCGTCTGCCTCTCAACCATCATCTTCCATTTAACGAATGTCGAAAATGTGTCATCTTGTGTTTTCAGAAAATACACGCACACCATCCTTGAGTAATCATCAATCAAAGTCATAAAATACCTAGCACCACTTTTGGAGGGAAATGTGTTTGGACCCCACAAGTCTGAATGTATATAATCTAACTTGTCTCTAGTCTTGTGGTTTGCCTTCTTGCTGAATTTTACCTTTGTCTGTTTACCAAAAAAACAATGCTCACAAAAATTTGAAACTTGATTTTTGTACCCATCCAGCAAATTCTGCTTGCTCAACAAAGATAATTCCATGTCACTCATATAACCAAGTCGCAAGTGTCACAACTGAGACTGATTCAGATCACTTTTTCCAGAAGCTATAGCAGCTTCCTCTTCAACTTCACTGGCCTGAAGATCATACAATTTAGAATGCAGTTTACCCTTCATGAGTGCTATGGAGCCTTTACACACTTTAAGTATTTTATTCTCGGAGTGAAACTTATACCCTTGATCATCCAAAATCGAAAGAGAAATGAAATTTCTCTTTATCCGAGAAAAATGCCAACACTTAATGTCTCTGACAATTCCATCGAACATTCTCAATTTGATGTTACCAATCCCCTCTACTGGTAATGGATTATCATCTCTCGTGTAGACAATTCCACTGATCTGCTTGTAAGTTGCAAATCGATTCTTATGTGGACATGTGTGGAAAGTAGCACCAGAATCAAGAACCCAGAAATTCTGCCAATGACTAGAACTTACGGAACAGACTTCCCCTATATAATCACTATCATCAAAATTATTTTCAGTGTCAACAATATTTGCCGAATTATCTATTTTCTGCTTCCCTCCTTTTTCTTTCAGCTCGGGACAATCTCTCTTGTAGTGACCTTTCTCCCCGCACTCATAACAATTATGCTTCCTTGCTCTAGACTTCAATCTGGCAGTTGACATTTTCTTGTTAAATTCCTTTTGTTGTGTTCTTCCTCTACTCACAAGACCCTCACCCTCAATTTTGTTGTCTGGAAAGCTCTTTTTCAACTCTTTAGATTTTAGTGCATTACAAACATCTTTCACTGAAATACTGTCTTTCCCATATAGCAGCATATCGGCAAAAGTATCATAAGACGGTGGTAAAGAACATAACACAATCAATGTCTGATCCTCACTCTCAATTTTGATATCCACGTTCATCAGGTCCATTATAATTGAATTAAACTCATCAATGTGAGTTTTAACAGGTGTACCATCGTTCATGCGGAGATTGTATAACCTCTCTTTCAGGTAGAGTCGATTTGTCAGCGATTTCTTAGAATACATATCTTCCATGCCATTGCTGCAGAAGTTTCTTCAGTAATTTCTCGAAGAACGCTATCTGTAACGCTCATGAAGATCGCACTAAAAGTCCTATCCTTTAGGTCTGCCTTCTCTGTCTCTTTCATTTCTTCAGGAAAATCCTCATCAATTGCCTTCCATAACCCTTGTAACATCAGGGACGATTTCATCCTAATCTTCCATAGACTGAAACTAGAACCCCCTTAGAATTTCTCTACTTCTTACTTTGTTAAAGATGATAAAGACATCTAAACACTAGATTATATCTAGAAAGCTGAACCTTGTGTTGATACCAATTATTGCGGAAAATCGTGACTTTACTAGCACAAAATCACATACAAAGCAAATATAGAAGAAAAATCAACACAAGGATTTAACGAAGCAGAGAGAGTTTTCCTTGGGACAGAAGCGGAGAGAGTTTTCCACTATCAATGAGAAGAAAAGCACAATACAATCTATAGAATCCCCAACTACAACCCCTATATATAGATCCCAAATAGTCTCAAGCCTATAAGAGAAGAGAAAGGTTTTCCAAATTGACAAGGACAATAGGTTTTCCTTTCCCAAATCTATTAGGACAATGGGTTTCCTAAACCTATAAGGATTATGTGTTTCCTAAAAATACAAGAAAATAATTCAAGCCACAAAATAACAGACGCCATATTAAAAGTCTCTATGAGCTGACTTAGCCAATAACGGGTATCAAATCCAATGGTTCGACATAAGTATAGAGATGACAAAGTGATGACATGTGACCCTACTTAGTGCCTTTGCCAGTTTACGGGTGTTGTAGTACCTTCACCCATAGCTTGGAGACGACGCACAAAAAAAAATCTATGGGCTTTGGTGGTCGTAAATACTCGAGCGATATGGGTAGCACACAGTGAATCTCCAGATAAGCCCAAGAATCAGAGTGAGGGGCCATGTAGGTATTCAAGGGGGAGATTGTTGGGTGTATGAAAAAAGTCCTCAACTGAAAGTTGATAAGAAAAAGAAGTTCGTAAAATATGCCAAGATACTCTTAATGACATGAGACCTTTTTGGGGAAAAAAATGGGAAATTGATCAAAAAAAAATAGTATCACATCATGTTAAAAGAATCTTTAGACTGACTTAACCTAACAAGATTCCCTTCCCACCACTCTGTAACAGACCAAACACGAAATAACCACTAGTTGTCATATTCTTTGCAAATTCCTATATCTAGATGCCAAAGGAAAAAAGCATAAGGAATAACTACAATGCCTGTTATGAGAAATATGACACCAGCCTACCAAGTGTGACCAAGAATAATGTGCATTTATATGCATGGATATGTAGGTGAATAGTGAAAAATAATTAGGAATAGTAGGTGAACATGGCATATTTTGATAAGTTCTTCACCTGAACATGACAAATACTAGAAGGGAAATTTTATACCATAGTGACAAATATGCCCTCTTTTCATAAATACACCAACTCCTAAGATAGATAAACCATATTGTGAGATAAAAAAAACATTAAAAAAAAATATAGGAAGTAAATAAGGCAGAGAGACATATCCCTCTTATAAGGCTTTTTCTACATGGAAATAGATGGATTGCTGCTATTTGTAATCATGAGTCCCTTAGTCATCATTACTATACTTGAAAAATATTACCCCCCCCCCCCCCCTCTTCTCTCTTTTCTCTCCCCTAATTAGTTGCAAAAATAGCCAGGGAACCACATGGTAAGTAGTAATGTTTATTCATATTGAAAAGTGAAAACTATAATTCCACCTATTTATAGGATCTCACCACCTTCATATACTTCAACTCAACATTTCATTATAGCATACCTCTGATCTATTCCTCTTCTTCTTGAACTAAAACACACACACACACACAAAAAAAAGGAAGAAATGTGTATCAGTTCTACAGAGTGGAGTTCATCACGTCCCATTTACTTTTTAATGCAGAAAAAACAACGACCAAAGCTCTCTCGAGTTCAAGTTCATAGGCTAACAAGGTATTTGACAAAAAATTAATTGGTGCTCTTTTTGTTCTTTCACTTTATTTTATGATCACTTTCCTCTTTAAGGTGTGAAGATCTTTTTTTTCGCCTATAGTGTAATTAGTGGATTATGTAATGAAGGAGTAAAAAAGGCAGCCCGATGCATTAAGCTCCCGTTGTGTGTGAGGTTTGAGGAAAGGCAGGACGGCCACAAAGGTCTATTCTATGCAGCCTTACCCTGCATTTCTGCAAGAGGCTGTTTCTACGGCTCGAACCCATGACCTCTTGGTCACATAGCAGTAACTTTACCAGTTACGCCAATGAAGGAGTAAAAAACTTTTATTCTATGATCAGTATATTTTAATATGTTTTAGCAAGTAGTGATCTTTAACTCAGGTTACTAGTCTCATTTTTTTTTTTTATAAACGACGATCTGTAGTTATCTTTTAAGTGACCTAATACTTGTAAAAACTCCTTTACATGATCCGTATATAGAAGTTAAACTATTAATTATTAATTAATTGGTTTTTTCTGGTTATGAAGGAGGAAGAGAAGTGAGGAAAAAGCAGCTGAGGATATGGAAATGAGAAATTTGAAGCTATACATGGAAAATATGAGCATTTTAGAGGAGAATGAGAAATTGAGGAAGAAAGCAAGCCTTCTCCATCAAGAAAACCTTAGTTTAATGTCTGAGTTTCAGAAGAAATTTTCACAATTTGATAGAGGCTCCACTACTCTTAACCTACTTCCCATTCATAAGCAACCATGTCAATGAAGAAAGTAACTGTTATATTAATGAGGGAAAAGAGTGGATAAAAATAAATATTCACTTAGTGTATATGTATGCTAGCTACTTGTGTTATTCATAAATTATTATTTCGTTTATGTTGTTATAAAATTAGAGTACTCTTGGTAATTAGTTTTATTTGTGTAAGCTTAGCAATCTGAAAAATAAGACAGACAATATGCTATACCAGGTTGAATTACATCGATAGTGTAACCTAGAATTTGAAAATAATGCATACGCCAAAGTTCTCTTTAAACACTATCCCAATTGGCAAAGGCGAGAGGTGCAAGCACTACGAGATGAAATTTTTTTTCGAATTGAACGGAAAAAAGAAAGTCAACATATTCTTGAAATAATTCGCAAATATTATTACAAGAAAGGCGAAAGGTACAAACACCACGAGATGAATTTTTTTTTCGAATTGAACGGAAAAAAGAAAGTCAACATATTCTTGAAATAATACTCGTTCATTCGCAATATTATTACAGGAAAGTCGTTCTCATTTCGAAAGATGCGTGCATATAGATTTATGAAAATTCAAATGCTAGTTTGCAGTCTAATTTATTATTTACACATTTGAGATAAAAATAAAGTATGGGGAAGAAATGCTCTAAAAGGCAAAGTAACAGTAAAATGGGAGAATGGTGCGATTTTTACCAAAATTGTCCATTATATTCAAGGTTAGGTTTAACTTTATCCTTAAAATATACATTGAGCACATATTGTCCCTTATGTATACCAAAGTTGAGCATGTTTGGTCTACTTAACGGAAGAACACAAACAGGAAGAAACATTTAACGGCCTAACCATGTATGTAACCTGTAAATTAAAAACTAATTTGTGAGCTCACATTTAACGGCCTAACCATGTATGTAACCTGTAAATTAAAAATTGATTCGTTAAATGTCTCAACTTTGTATACTTAAGGGACGATATATGCTCAGATGTATATTTAAGGGATAAAGTTAAACTTAACCTCAAACATAAGGGACAATTTTGGTTAAAACTCGGAGAATGGTCAGTGAGGCTAAGTCTTGGTTTGACCCCGTAAATGTAGTTTAGGATAATGTAAATTGCATAAATCCAACCAAAAACAACCTTTTCTTTTCCCAAAAAAGGAGTTCTGTGAAGCTTCTTAACACGTGAGGTAACTAAAATCATAAGTAAAAACAGCACTTTTTCAAAAGTCAGGGCTGTTGGCTCGAGACTGTCTGTTTCTCTACGGCAACATTAGTTTTATTTAATTCTACACTTAATATAAAACTCCACTTTTATGGAAGAAATCAAAAAAAATATTTTTCTTATCAAATTCAAATGCAATAACAAACATAAAATATTCACATCTGAATTAATAATAAAACTGGACTGTAGGCTTTGATCTTTTCTTTGCGAAGCCAAGGGTTCATATTCCTAGTTTCAGGATATCATGAAGTAGAAAAAATACACGGTTTTAAGAGGATGTTTTAAGTTATATATATTGGTAATACAAATTTTTTTTTACACCAACAGTGTAATTTAACATACTTTATCATGTTACTTATCATTATTACCACATAAGACACTGGTGTAAATATTTCTTAGTGTCATAGCAGAAAACTTAAACTTTATAAATAATTAATTATACTCTAGTATTCAAAATCAATTTTTTGTATGCTCAGGGAGTAACAACTAGTCAAACTTCTTAGGGTTGTTTGGTACGAGGTATAAGAAGGTATAGTGCTGGTATAAATTTGATTAAATTTGATTTTGTGGTTCTAAAAATACGTGATTTATTTTAATGCTAGTTGCTAGGTGATAGATGCTAAGTGTGAGCTAGGAAAGTAAAGTAAGAGTGAGAGGCAGTGTTGTTATTCAAATTGAACGGCTGCGAATCGGGGTCTCGGACTGGCCTACACTAGGCCTCGAGGTCGGACTAAAATGCCTGACTGGGAACGGCCGATGAAGAACTAACAGTTGTGAAGGCCTTAATGGTGGCTCTTTATGATCAATAATGAGTAATAAATGAAAAACAATCAATAGAACACAATAAATGTAAGCAATAAAATCAAAGGAAAGACAATGGAGAATGTTAAAGTTAGAGAGCAGAGAATGTTCTTGTTTCTTGTATTGAATATCATCCATCCTATAAAATGATAAGGGACCCCTTTATATAGGTGGGAATCCCAACATGGTACATGTATAACTATTACAAAGAAACGTAACTGGTACTACTATTTAATGGTCTGGTACAGACTTGTACTATTCTTGCAGGCGTTGTCAGCTTTGACCACTTGCCTAGGGAATTTCCCGCTTATCCATGATAGCCACCGACTTACGCTGCCCCGAGATCGAGCATAGGGAACCCTCGGGGTCGAACCTCGAGCTGTGCCTCGAGCCTTCTGGAGACGGGCTCGATGGAACGTCATAATGATCATAAAATCGAACTCTCCGATTTTAGCCGTATACAAACTTATACCTTCTTCTTAGAAATTAAGCAATTATCATTTTTAATACAACATACCAAACATTGGATAAAAAACAATCACAGCATAACTTATCCCGGCATAAGACATATTCAAACCAAACGACCCCTTAGTGTGTATTTGGAGAGGTAACTTTGGACTTTAAAATGTTAGGCATAAGGTCAACAAAATGGCCTCTGGAATCATAATACCATTTGAAATTACTCAAATTAACTTTGGGCCTCAAGGTATTATTAAAGGTAGAGCACATCCCTATGCATTGACCTAAACTGTGCTTAGGATTCTTTCTTACATAAAAGGTTTCTGTACAAAGTTTCAACTATTTTAACATTCCACCTCTACCCTAAGTATGCAAGTTTAAAGAAAAAATAGTTGACCCTACAACATAGGGACACATATATTGTGAATTTGTAAATTAGTAGGCAACATGCATAAATTCAAGGATTAAAGCGCACAGCCGAAAATACAGTGTTAAGACCATCCCCCCTCCTCATCCCCCCACCCCCCCGACCCCACCCAACCCTAACC